TCGGGCTCTTGCTGAGAAAGACCTGTCTGCCTGCCCTGACGGATGTGCAGCTCTTTCGCTGGTGTGAGGTGTCTCCGGCTCATCATATTCTGCCTCGTGTTCATAGCTTTCCGTGGAAGGAGCCTTTTTGCGATTGCGTCTTCCTTGAGCTCTTTGCGCTCCGTTGGCAATGTGGGGGTTAGAGCTGCCGTTTGCTATATCGGGCGATCCACGCATTGCCGTGGCAGCCATGATGTTGTGTATTTGCGCCCAAACTCAAGGAGATAATCGAAAAAGATGCGTAGATAGGGCGCCAAGTATTTGCAATTGCGAACCCAACTGGAACCAATGTCGTTAATGTCGGTCCCAAAGGCAACGCAAGCAGATTTAGGGGAAATTGTCGTACTTTGTTTTTCTCGAAATAGATGAAAGGGGTTCAATGCGATTTGATCTGATGCCTAACGCAGGGTCACTCCACCATGGCCCGAGCTGATTCGCAAGCAACAAGCCAAGTTGGGCGGGGGTATAGGTCCACGCGGCGGTGACAGGGAAGTTAGCCTGTATAAAAGGTGAACGGGTCAACGCCAGGATAGGAGTGTCAATGGGATGGTAGAGGATGAGATGAAAAAGAAGAAAAATATTTCAATCAAGTCCAGCAAGCCGGAAAAAAAAAAAAAAAGAGCAAGGCAAGGTCTATACATCCGATAACCCGGTGGCTGGTTATCCCCAGCCTTCGCGCGGGGCTATTGTCATACGAAGGCTTTATCAAGGGCTTTGATCCCTAGAGAAGCAATACTTATGCACGATTGTACGTTAGAATAAATATAAAATATCCAAAAAGTGAAATATAGAAGTATAGAAATAAAGAATATGTAGAATTAAGCATAATTCTTAAATTTGGTACGGGGATTGGAATGAGCTATTGTTAGACCTACATACTTGTTTACCTACGGAGTACAAACATATATAGAAGTACCTGGATACTAGGAAATTATGAATGTTTCACAGTTACCTAGAATATGGTTATTGCATATAACTAATTAAGTAACATATACTAGTTAGTTACTATTACTACATAGGAAGTAGCTCGATGTTCTGTTGTTTTAGCTATCCTATTTCAGGTGCCGCTTTTAAGTACTCTCGGTGACTGGGTAAATTTCAGTCCGTGATCAGGCTACTGTGTAGCCCCAGCCCGTGCTCAGTTCTACCCATAATAAAGCGGCAAGAGGTTAGAAGTGGAAAGGGAAACCCAAGCAGTCTATGTTGTTCATGCAAGGACTTGAACTATTTGATTCCTGCAGTTGATAATGATTAAATACTAAGCAGCAGTCAATGCATCAATTTCAATAATGATAGTATCATTTATAAACCATTGACATATGTACGTATGCCTGGCCGAGGCCATACCTACGTAAGCTAAGCCACCTGCCCAGGTGTCCAGGCACCTAGGTAAGTAATAAGATTATTTAATTAACTACAAACTACGATGTAGAAACCGTGGCCTTAGAATGTTCCAAATCTTCTTTGATAATTAATAAAGAAAAAGACATAGTTAACTAGTTATGTTGTCCGAATGTTACACAGTAAGCTAAGTCGAGCTCAATAGACCTGTCAGGAGCCTGAATAGGATCCCGTGTGGGTGGCCTCTTGACGATCCTCCTATTCGCCTACAACTTGGTTATTACAACCTCCTCTTGACAACTATTTTATAACCTTGGAAATAGCCTTATTAGAGCTTATTTCCTTTTTGTCCGCCTATACCCCTCACTACAACTCATCAAGTTGCTATTCAACGGTCCGGAACTATTGATGGCAACCGCATACTAGATACCTCGACCCTCACAACCCTCCCTTAATCCCTTTCCTCGACCGAAAACAATTGATTCCTCATCATGCGCATTGTCAGTGGTATCACTGCCACCCTGGGCCTTGCTGGTGCAGTCTCCGCAAACCTACACCCTCGCTCTCAAGAAACTCGGGACTTCTTCGCCCTCCACCTCGATGATACCACCTCTCCCTCCCACATCGCACAGGTCCTCGGCGCACGCCACGAGGGCCAGATTGGTCAACTGGATGGCCACCACGCTTTCTCATTACCGCGGGAGCAGACGGCTCAATTTGACACCTTGTTGAACGATTTACGAACCAGGCGAAAGCTCCGGCGGCGCTCCGACGATGGAATCGAGTCGCGTGGGACCAGTGATGATCCCTTAGACAAGATCCTGTGGTCGCATAAGATTGCTCCGGCAAGACAAAGATTGCAGAAACGACTTCCGCCGGTCTCCGTACCCTACAAAACGCTGGACAAGAGGGAAAATGCGCAGGCCGTTGATTTCCAGAAGACGGCCATGTCATCTCTAGGGATCACTGACCCGATCTTCAGAGAACAGTGGCACCTTCTCAACACATTGCACCCCGGAAACGATCTCAATGTGACAGGATTGTGGTTGGAGGGGATAACCGGCAAGGGTGTTGCCACTGCAGTTGTCGATGATGGGTTGGACATGGATAGCAATGACCTCAAGCCCAACTACTTCCCAGAGGGTTCTTGGGATTTTAACGAGGGACTTCCGGATCCCCGCCCTCTTCTTCTTGACGATAAGCATGGTACTCGATGCTGCGGCGAGATCGCGGCGGCAAAGAACGATGTTTGTGGAGTCGGTGTTGCATACGATAGCAAGATAGCCGGTATCCGGATCCTGTCCAAGCCTATCGATGATGTCGATGAAGCGGCAGCTATCAACTTCGCCTACCAAAAGAATGACATATATTCATGTTCATGGGGCCCCATCGACGATGGTGCTACTATGGATGCGCCTGGAATCTTGATCAAGCGAGCCATGGCCAACGGTATCCAAAAGGGCAGAGGGGGTAAAGGCTCGGTCTATGTCTTTGCCGCCGGTAACGGTGCAGCCTCCGGGGACAACTGCAACTTCGACGGGTATACCAACAGTATCTACAGTATTACAGTGGGTGCCATTGACCGGGAAGGGAATCACCCTTCTTACTCCGAGTCATGCTCGGCCCAACTTGTGGTCGCATACAGCAGCGGCTCGGGCGATTATATCCACACTACCGACGTGGGTGCTAACAAGTGCTTCTCTGGGCATGGTGGCACCTCTGCGGCTGGTCCGCTGGCCGCAGGCAGCGTGGCACTCGCGCTCAGCGCACGCCCGGAGCTGACCTGGCGTGATCTACAATACTTGATGGTGGAGACCGCCATCCCCGTGAGCGAAGACGACGGTAGTTGGCAGGTTCTGCCCTCTGGCCGCAAGTTCAGCCATGACTGGGGTTTCGGAAAGGTTGATACATATACCATGGTCCAGCTTGCTAAAACTTGGGATCTGGTGAAGCCACAAGCGTGGCTCCACTCGCCATGGCTGCGAGTGCATCAAGACATTCCCCAGGGTAATCAGGGGTTGCTCAGTCGCTATACAATCACTGCTGATCAATTGAAGGGGGCCAACGTCGCCAAATTGGAACATGTCACTGTGACTATGAATGTCAACCACACCCGCCGCGGTGATATCAGCGTTGAGCTGCGCAGCCCTGGTGGAATCGTCAGCCACCTGAGCGTTGCCCGTGAAAAGGACAATATGCCAGTTGGATACGAGGATTGGACTTTCATGTCCGTTGCTCATTGGTATGTGCTGTCCTTCCAATTCCATGATATATGCTTTTGCTAATTTATTCTTAGGGGTGAATCTCCTATTGGCGAGTGGTCTATCATCGTGAAAGACTCCAATGTCAATGAATACTCAGGTACATTCATTGATTGGCGCCTCAATCTGTGGGGTGAGGCCGCCGACGCAGCTAACCAAAAGCTTCACCCCCTGCCTGATGAGCATGACGATGACCATCCATACGAGGATGCTCCTGTAGCCACGACTAGCATTACGTCGACTCCAACAAAGACCGGAGCCCCTGCCAACCCGGATGATCATCATGACCGGCCTGTGAACGCAAAGCCAAAGCCAACATCCACGAAGCCCACGCCAGTTGAGCCCACGCCAGTTGAAGATTTGAAGAAGCCCACCAACACTACCGGTAGTGAAGCTGAAACCTCCTCCCCTTCATCCGCCGACTCCGGCTATATATCCTCTTGGCTTCCCACTTTTGGTGCTTCGAAGCGCACACAGATTTGGATTTATGCATCCTTGGCCATGATCATCACCTTCTTCATTGGATTGGGTGTATACTTCCAGCTGCAGAGAATCAAGCGTCGTCGCACCACTGCTCACGACGACTACGAGTTTGAAATGATTGAGGATGAGGATGAGATGCAACCAATGACTGGAGCATCTGGTCGAACACAGCGTCGTGGTGGTGAACTGTATAATGCGTTCGCTGGAGAGAGTGACGAGGAAATGTTCAGTGATGATGATGAGCCGTATCGTGATGGGTTGGCCAGTATCCAGGAGAAGGACGGACAAGATGGAACGTCCCCTGGTGGCTCCCATCAGGAAAAGCCTTAATCTAATGTCGATAGTCATTTTGCATCTTTTTCGGTGTTGTTGATTGCTATATTGACTTGGTTGTTAAATTGGAGAGCATCGGTCACTAGGAATAGAAAGGGTAGGGATACTAGGGTCTGTCTGTATATTTACGATTTGACAGGAATTCAAAAGCGTGCTGTGCATACTACAAAGATTGTTCTATCAAATTCGAAGTAATCCTCACGGAATTACTAGAATAATTGGCTGCTCATGCGGCCTTTGTCCTCGACGATGATCTATTTAGGCCCGAACGATCGGGGACATTATATGTAAGAACAATCCGATGTGTTTTTAGATGTTCTTTTCAAATGTCTGTTTAGGTGTATGTAGAGGTGATAAAAAGCATGAACTGTGTAGACGACCTTCCTACATGATGTATCACCTTTGAAAATCCAATCTTTGCCAGGGACCATGTTAATTCTAATAATAAAGCGATGATGACGTTCCGCTTCGGGAACTCCGCCTTGGGGAACGGCGATCATTGAACTCAGCTCCAACCTCCAAACTTCCCCCTCCATTCCATCTCTTTGACCTTTTCAGTCCCTATCCCTCCTTGATCAAACATTTCCTGCAAATATTGATTCTCGGCATTACTGGGGTTCCAACAACTATCAGCCGGTTGACCACGGCCGACCGACAACCCCCCACGATGGATCAACATGATGACTTTGATAGTGTGTCTTGGAAGCACGACCCAGACAGTGATGTCTCACGGCCGACAACTGCAAGTACGGATGCTGCAGAACCCAGTGAAACTCACCATGACTCCAATGGCAAGCGGAGAATGAGCTCCGCCCAAGAAGAGCCCCAGGCCGGCCCGCTAGCTGACGCCGTCGACCTGGCGGGCATCGGCGATGGAGTTCTTGAGTGCCGAGTTGACTCTCCGCTCAAAGAAAATGACGGGACAAAAGATGCATATATCTCGTACCTGGTTACCACACATGTATGCTTTCTTCTATGCATATACTGTAGGGGAGTTGAGGTGCAACTGCTGCCTTGGCCTCTCGACATCTGTTTCTTCTCAAAAGGACCATAACTGATATATTTAGACCGACTTCAAATCGTTCCAGAAACCCGAATTTACTGTTCGGAGGCGCTTCACCGACTTCTACTTCCTATACAAGACGCTCTATCGCGAATACCCGGCATGCGCGGTGCCGCCGCTCCCGGACAAGCACAAGATGGAGTACGTGCGGGGAGACCGGTTCGGCCCGGAGTTCACAACGCGACGAGCTTGGTCGCTGCATCGATTCTTGAAACGTTTGACGCTTCATCCTGTGCTTCGGCGAGCGCCTCTTCTCACTATCTTCTTGGAATCGCCGGACTGGAATGCGCATATGCGCCTGCACTCAACACGGGTATCAACTAATACCGGGTCGGATGGCGCGGCTACTGGTATCTTCGATAACTTTACTGATTCCTTTGTCAACGCTTTCTCTAAAGTGCACAAGCCGGACCGGCGCTTTATCGAGGTGCGAGAGAAGGCTGATAAGCTCGACGAAGACCTGTCACATGTGGAGAAGACCGTGGCACGGGTTGCGCGGCGTGAATCCGATCTGGAGACAGACTATGCCGAGCTAGCGACACAGTTCCGCAAACTCGTCCCGTTAGAGCCTGCTATTGAGATGCCACTGCAGGTCTTTGCAGCTTCAGTGGAAGAGACCGCGCGCGGGATGCGCGGCTTGAAGGACCATACAGACCAGAACTATTTGGGATCGCTGCGCGATACCGAGTCGTATATCATGTCCCTCAAGTCCCTGCTGAAGACACGTGAACAGAAACAGCTCGATTTCGAAGCCTTGGTCGATTACCGCAATAAAGCTGTGACCGAGCGTGACTCTCTGGCTGCCAACCCAGCTGCTTACTATGCCTCAAACCCACTCACTTCCTCCCCAGCATCGTTCATCCGCTCTAAGATGGAAGACATGCGCGGTGTCGACCACGAACAGTCCCGCCGCGAGCGTGTACGAAAGCTTGAACTCCGCATTGACGAATTGACCCGCGAGGTCGAGTCCGCAAAAACTACATCTGAGATGTTCGACGAGGAGGTCATCCGCGAAGTCGCAGATTTCGAACGTATCAAGGCGGTCGAGTTCCGAGATGGACTTGGTTCATTTGCTGATTCGCACATCGAGTTCTACCAGGGCGTGCTGTCTACATGGGAACGGTTTGTAGCAGAGATGGAGGGCGAAGCTGAGCCCGGGCATGACTCTGATGCGGCTGCTATCGGAGCCATTTAGCTATTTCGGTCTGAGCATGCTTGAGTCATTACCCGGGCCGAGTCTGATATAGCAGTTCATATCTGTTGCTTTCGCTAGCTTATTCCGCGTTTCATACCCGCAATACCATCATAACTCTTCATTTATTCGGATATGCAGCCACTCAGGGAGTCAAGTTCATAGCAGATGAAGTAGAAATCGCGATGAAATGCAGTTTCATACTTTGAAAAGGTCGAGAGCTTTAAAAAAAAAAGAAGATATAGATTCACATCAGTAGCTTGAACATAACCTTGGAGCTGTATGCATGGATAATATTGTTTGTACTGTTTGCACTGCATGTCTATCTTCGATCATCCGATTCAACCTCCATATGGATCACCAAACACAATGCGTCCAATCTCCAGAGCCGTCCTTCGGTCGTATGTTTGCCCAACCTGCCGGCATGGCATTAGCGCCGGTCGTCGGCGATTTGGGTCCAAATCAGATTCCCCTGACCTCTACGATGTGGTTTGTGTTGGAGGCGGGCCCGCGGGCCTAGGGTTATTGGCCGCACTTCGTATGTATAACACAATGCAGATAATTAAGCAAGATATATACTGATGCGATGTTACTGTAGGAGCGTCGCCTATTACCTCAAAGCTCAAAGTCGCTCTCATTGAGAGCCAAGATCTCCGTAAAGCCAAAGCCTGGGACCTCGAACCGAACCAGTTCTCCAACAGAGTCAGCAGCTTGACCCCCTCGACTGTGTCATTCCTGCGTAGCATTGGCGCATACGATCAGCTCGATGTCAATCGCGTGCAAGAATACCAAGACATGCAGGTCTGGGACGGCCAAACCGGATCCCGAATATCATTCGATTGGTCAATGGAGACATCCCCATTCGAAGAAATGCGCACCGTAGCAACAATGACCGAGAACGCGAACCTGGTACGCGCCCTACTGCGCCGAATCGCTGACTCAGGAGACGAGAACCTCTCCCTCTTTTCAAACTCCACTGTTGCCTCCATCGAAAACGGCTCAGACCTCAAACCCGAAGGTCCCGACCTCTCAGCCTGGCCAATCGTCACCGTCAAGCCCACAGGCCCAGCCGCGGAAACAGAGACACCAAAGCGCATCGCCGCCCGTCTCCTCGTTGGCGCAGACGGAATCAACAGCCCCGTCCGCTCCTTCGCAGACATCCCCACCCAAGGCTGGGACTACGGCCGCCACGGCATCGTCGCATCCCTCGCTCTCGCAGAGCCAGCAACCCAGCCCTTCCCAGCCTCAAAGCGCACGGCCTACCAGCGCTTCCTCCCCGCTCTCGGCGGGCCAATCGCTCTCCTTCCCCTGCCAAATAACCACGCAACCCTCGTCTGGTCAACAACCCCCGAGAACGCAGCTTACCTAAAGTCCCTCCCAACCCCGGCCTTCCTCGCCATGGTCAATGCAGCCTTCCGTCTTGACATGACAGATCTCACCTACATGATGGGCATGCAATCCTCTTCCTCTTCCGATTCAACCCACTCCCACCAAGACGAACTCAACTGGCGCGTCCAGCACACCCCGCTCCCATCCCAAATCCCTCCCCCAGCGACAGCTGTGCAGACGGGAACAGTCGCTTCCTTCCCACTGCGCTTCAGGCACGCAGCGCAGTACATCTCGCCGCGTATTGCGCTCGTCGGTGACGCAGCGCATGTCATCCACCCGCTCGCTGGACAGGGTCTAAACCTCGGCCTGGCGGATGTTGCTTCGCTATCGAAGACTATTCAGTATGCTGTCTCGCATGGTATGGATGTAGGTGACTTGCTTACTCTCGAGCGATACTCGTCTGAGCGGTACTTGCCCAATGCGAAGATCGGGGGTGCTTGCGATCTCCTGCATAAAATGTACAATGTTCCGGGTGAAGGGCCTATTACTTGGGCGCGCAGTGTTGGACTAGGGGTCGTTGATCGGTTGCCTTTTGTTAAGTCGTTCTTGATGAAGAATGCCGAGGGGTATTAGGGTGATGTTCTTGACGGTGTGTATATGTATGGTCTTTTTTTTCTGTGTATTGTACTTCTAGTCGTTTTCATATGCAAGCCTTTTCTATACTAAGTTGTGATGTGCCTTTGCTTTCAAACATGACTTGAATGGTCTTGAAAGAGTCAAATGTATGCTGTGTGGCCATAATATACAACCTATATCAACCCAAAGCGAAGGGAAATGCATTGAATTGGGTATTTTGGTAATTCCTCTAAAAACACCAACCCTCACACTTGAAAAATATCTTTAGTTCTTTTCCCTCAACAATAAACCCCGGTCTTTTTGATAGGCCATCGAGCTTCAAGCCCGACAATGCAAGAGATCTACATAATTTTAGGGTAACATAGAACCCCTCTGGAAAACACGCTCTAAAAGAAAAACAGAATGAAAAATGCACACCCACAACTGTTTAATCGATTAAACACTGGTGCCCTGCAGCTGCTGTGCAAGAGATGAGACAGCACCTTGCTGCTTCTTAGCAAGACGGGTTTGAAGCTCGGGAACTAGGGAGGTAATATCAACCTCGACACCCTCCTTCTCGGGGTGTCCATCGGGCAGACCCATCTCCTTGATACGGCACTTGCCGGCAGCGAGTTCTTCCTCACCGAGGATGATACCAAAGGGAATGGCGCCTTGTTCCGCGGCCTTGAACTGCTGGGGCAGTTTGGGCTTCAACTTGTAGGAGAACTCAGCCTGAAGACATGCATGTTAGTGATTATTCAAATAGACCATTATCAACAGAAGTGGAAGGCTTACCTTGAGACCAGCGCTCCACAGCTTCTGGCAGATTTCCATACGCTCCTTCAACATTCCGCCGAAGCCCTTACCACCGAAGGCCATGACGTAGGCATCGACCTCACTGCTGCGAAGGGCATCGGACTTCTGTTCGCGCTCGATGCGTGCCTTAGTGATGGAGAAGATACGGTCGACACCGAATGAGATTCCAACACAGGGGATCTGCGCCCTGGGCTGGAACATGCTAACCAGGTTGTCGTAGCGACCACCGGCAGCGACACTGCCAACGCCGAGAGTGGGGTCGTTGGATCGGTCCTCTTCCTCAGAGGGCTGCTTGGACTTACCCTTCTTAGGTTTATCGGCCTTCTGTGCCTCTGGGGAATCAGCCTGCACACCAGCCGAACCCTCGGTGACGACCTCGTAGATGACACCGGTGTAGTAGTCCAAACCACGGGCAAGGGACATGTCGAATGAGATCTTATCCAACACGCCGAATGCCTCGAGGTAGTCCATCATCAGAGCCATTTCCTCGAGACCGGCCTTGGCGGAGGCATTGGCGTTCAAGGCCTCATCCTTCAGAAGAGAGTCGAGCAGCTCGCGCGAGCCCTTGTTCATGACGTATTTCTCAATGCGATCCGCAACCTCGGGGTTAAGTCCCTTATCGTCGACCATTTCCTTGCGCACATCCGCCCACGGCATCTTGTCCAACTTATCGACCGCACTGGAGATAGGTCGGAGCTTGTCCTCGGGCACACCACAGACGGCAAAGACACCGTCCAGGATCTTGCGGTGGTTAAGCTTGATGGTGTAGCGGCCGCTCCAACCGAGCTCCTCGAAGACCTCGCTGACGATACGCAGGATCTCGGCATCGGGAACCATGGCGTCGAAGGTACCGGCGATATCGAAGTCACACTGGTAGAACTCACGCATGCGACCCTTGTTGATGGCGGGCTGGTCACGGCGATAGACCTTGGCGATGTGGTAGCGCTTGATGCTGGTGATGTGGCTGTTCATGGCGAGCCAGCGCGCAAACGGCACTGTCAAGTCGTAGCGCAGGGAGCAGATCTCGCCACCCTGGTCCTTCAGGTCGTAGATGAGCTTGGAGTCCTCGCCATATTTGCCAGCCAGGATCTCGCGCAGCTCAAAGACGGGGGTGTCTAGTGCGGTACCGCCGTGGCGCTTGAAGACATTGGAGATGGTGGTGAAAATGCGGTCTCGGAGGAGGGCATCGGAGCCGGACCAATCCTTGGTGCCCTTGGGGGTCTTGAGGTTGAATGTCGTACCCTTGTCTTTCCCCATTGTGATTGTGATTATTTGAGCGGAGCGATGGGAGGAGGAAAACTGGCGAGTGCGGCGGGGATAAATTATTTGGTGGGGGATGGTGGGGGCAGGGATATTATTTTTATTCGAGATGACTCGACGGTTCTGCAGGGAAGGGCAATGAGTCAGGCCAGAAATGGGAGTCAGACCAAATGGATTGGCGATTGCTCGTTGTACAGAGCGCAAAGGAATAGGAATGGACGGCATAAAAAAGAACGAAGAACGGCGCTGCAAAACAAAATTATTTGGGTTCATCCCGGACATCTCCTGGTCTCCTGAGGCATCTGTTGGTTCGGGGATTCTTCCTGGTTAGGGGTTATTTATCCGATGGATTTATCCGGACAAGCCCTTCCAATGTTCCATAAACTCATCTCTGTCATTTCTTTCTTGCAACAAAGGGTTATGATGTGTCAAAAAATTCCTTGGAAGTATGCAAATACCCCCTTCTGTGATCTGTCATATCTCTTTACCACGTAACTATCTATGCCTACTATGTATGGAGTACCAAGTAGCCCACTGACAAACCAGACGCAGTAAAAACAAAGACATTGAAGGTGATTCTATACCTACTATAGAAGAGATATTAAGCCTTAGGGCGTAGCCGAGTTCTAGACTTCCCCGGATCTGCTTGCAACTTGGGCTAGAAATAAAACCCGAGGTCTTTCATGCGGTGGGAAATTGGGAAATGCTCTTTCCTCTTTGGGACGGGGGGCCTGCCCAGGCACATTCCAATGTACCCTTGAAGTGATATCGTATGCGGTACGGAGTATATAGTACATTGTACATTACATTGTATATACATTGTATGTTGTAGAATTGTAGAAATAGTTATGACATAGCCAAAATAAATCGCTCAATTTGGGAGAACCCGATTTACTCCACAGTCTATAACGTCATTTCATCAGAACTGATCAGAACTGATTAGACTAATGCAGTACGGTGTGGATTGCTTTCCTATCTCAGTGTGATCCCAGCTCTATGCGTCTTTTTTTTTTACCATACCCCCTTGAAAGAGGTTTTGTCTCGCCACCCCCACCATGCACTCCGCATAGATTCGGTAACGGAGTCGCATCACTCGTTTAATTTGCCTTTTTTTTTTTAACCCCCCATGATGTGGTCAGATCATGTTGAGTTTTGATCAGACGTTGAAGTCTAGGCAGATTACCCAGAGTGCCCCCATCGCGGGAACGTGCGTTGTGGTACTGAAAGAATGACTTGGTATTGCTGCCGCCTATTGGACCCCCGCAAGGGGCAAATTTAAATTTGATATACGGAGTACAGAGTCCGTATAGGCTGACGTTAGCCCTGGGTACGGAAGCATCCCATGGGAATCCCATGGGAATCCAGATGGCATATTCTAGACTTGTTCCGAGTCCCCGCTCACATTTCGAAAGAGTTCAGGCATGTAAGGAACAGTCACATTTCAACTTTGAAAGGTCCACCGCCACCTTTTTGTTTTCCCCACAACGAAGATGATCATTGGCCCCTGTGGCTACGCCATGCGAGGGGCGGACACGGGCGGACACATGGCCCGTGAGCGAGGGCGGCTTAGAGCCAATCACCAGGACGGAATTCTTGGTTGAATGAGAGAGGAGTCTCTCTCTTCCATGGACATGGAGGAGAGCCACTCCGCTGGGGAAACGAGTTGTGACCAATGAGTATAAAATGGGGCTCCGGTATAGCCGATGTTTTCTATTTTACTAAAAGTAAATGTTCGACGTTATATAAGTGTAGATTGTACGGAGGAAAGGCTAGAAATTCCGGCGATTGGACCAGTACCTGCCTTAGGTCTCCACGTGGAGTAAAGAGGCTAAGATGAATGGGGTCAAGATATGGCTCTTAGTGAGATATGTGTGTAAGTACGTTTTGAGTTGTTTTCTGGATGATTCTGTTGCATTTGTATTACTGTTATGTGTTACTTCTATTGTACTATGTGTATGTTACTATGTATATTAAAATAATTGGGTCCATTCCAGTGAACTCCCCTCCTTGTCTCTTCTACTTTAGTCAAATCACCTATCTCTTAACTTCTTTAATCTCTTAATCTCTTTAATCTATTTATCCTTAACTATCCCCCAATCTCCCCCCAATATCCCCAATATTCCCAATACTAAACCTACTAAACCTATTTAACACAATATTACCCCATAACTAACTCGGTTGGACTTCATTCTCTCCCGCCCCTCTCATTTCCACCGGACCCCAGAAACCTTATGTGATCAAATCGACACTCACCTTAATTTCCCCGGACGCGCTGCATTTCCTTCTCCATCATTCCCCCTTCTTCATATGCCGATCACTTCCTGTGATCTTTTAAATCCGAACACTGAGCCTCATCAATGCAGAGTGCGACCGGCCATTAAGCCATCATGAAGTCCCTCTTCTCCAAGGGCTCAAAGAATGGGGTGAGTGACAATACATCCCTACTGCCATGCTCTCTCAACCTGGTAGTACAGCAGACGCTTCGGGCACCTCTCGTGAGATCATTCAGATTGGGACCGCCACTGACTTGCACTTCTTTGCGCAGGCTGCCAACCCCCCGGCTACCGCGCCACCCGTGAAAAAAGACCTCCAGGTACCGCAGATTTCACCGCTAGAAAAGAGGTTACAGGATATGGGATCCATCCGTGGTGATGGGAGTGACAAGTTCTATGGAATGGAAAATGTGAGTCTCGGACTTCCCCGGAGTCTGTTGGGACCGCAAGGTCACTAACCGTAATCCCCCACGCTTGCCTAGTATGGAAACACTTGTTACTGCAACTCAATCCTGCAATGTCTCTACTACTCAGTCCCCTTCCGGGAAGCCGTCATCAACTACCCACAACGCACACCCATGGACAACCTCGAGGCTGCGCTCGCAAAGAACCTACGTTATCAGAACCCGAATGCATTCCTCGAAGCCGAGGCACTAGCTGCCAAACAAAAGGCTTCCTCTCCACCATCCGCGCGCCAGGCCGGTGTACCCCCAAATCCAAACCAAAAACCGGAGGACAAGGACTCACCGGAATACAAGAAGAAGGTAGCGCTGCAGACCCTTCCGATTCTGGAAACCAAGAACAATGCGACCAGTTATGGAATGTCCGAGTCCCTTTTCACTTCGCTCAAGGATATCTTCGAATCGGTGGTAGCCAGCCAAGCGCGCATCGGGATCGTTCGCCCACAACAGTTCCTGGACGTTCTACGACGAGAACATGAAATGTTTCGGACCGCCATGCACCAGGATGCGCACGAGTTTTTGAATTTGCTCCTCAATGAGGTGGTGGCCAATGTCGAAACGGAGGCCACGAAGCAATCATTCACAGAGAAGGCGTTGCCACCAACGGAAAGTGCGGATTCGCTGGGAATGATGCCATCGAGCACGGGTTCGAAGTCACCAAACACTACGAGATGGGTTCACGAGCTGTTCGAGGGAACTCTGACGTCCGAGACCAAGTGTCTCACTTGTGAAAAGGTCTCGCAGCGAGATGAGGTGTTTTTGGATCTATCGGTAGATCTTGAGCAGCATTCGTCCGTGACCTCTTGTCTCCGAAAGTTTTCAGCGGAGGAGATGCTTTGTGAGCGCAACAAGTTCCACTGCGACAACTGCGGTGGACTACAAGAAGCGGAGAAGCGGATGAAGATCAAGCGTTTGCCCCGTGTGCTGGCTTTGCATTTAAAGCGTTTCAAATACACAGAGGACTTGCAGCGACTGCAGAAGCTGTTCCATCGCGTCGTCTATCCCTACCATCTTCGTTTGTTTAACACCACAGACGATGCCGAAGATCCAGACCGGCTGTATGAATTGTATGCGGTGGTTGTTCACATTGGCGGAGGACCGTATCACGGCCACTACGTTGCCATCATCAAGACCGAAGACCGTGGTTGGCTGCTGTTCGACGACGAGCTCGTGGAACCGGTTGACAAAAGTTACGTGCGCAACTTCTTTGGAGATCGACCTGGATTGGCGTGTGCCTATGTTCTATTCTATCAAGAGACAACTCCCGAGGCTGTCATGCGAGAGCAGGCGCAAGAGAACCAGGCTTCGACGGCCGCAGCAACTGAAACAAGCGAGGCCGGAAAGTCGAATGGATCTCCCTTCTCACCACCGCTAGCCCATGCCCAAAGTGCATCACAAGTCCCTCCTGAGAGTACAATCCCCTTTAGTCCCCTCAGCCGGATCCCAACAGCACCCCCACTGTCTACCTACCCAGAAGAACCCGTGGCGCCCCATCCAACCTCACCGCAGTCTGTTCAACCGCCTCTCCCTCCGATCCCTGACGAACCTGCTCCCCCGTTGAGCCCAAAGAAGAGTGATCACCAACTACGGAAGGAACGTCGGGCTATGGAGAAAGAGAAGGATAAGAACGAAAGGAATCGCCTGAAGGAGCAGGGGTTGCACAACCGAGAAATGCAGCGACGAGAGGCAGAGGAGTTGAAAAGAGCCATTGAGGCCAGCAAGGCCGACACGGTCGATTTCGCCGCTGAGAATGGATCACCAAGGAAGTCGAGCAGTTTCGGCTTCTTGAAACGAGGCAGCCGCAGTCTCAGTCATCGACTCAGCAAAGACAAAGAACCCCGATCCTCAACGTCGGACCTCTCGACGGCGCCGCTTCTTCCAGAAGCTAAGCCGGAAGAGCCTCTCAAGGAGGCAGAACCGACCCAGCCAGTCACCAGCCCAGTTCAGCCGATCAAGCCAGTTCAGTCGCCGGTTCCTTCTCCGAGAAACTTCCCACCTATCTCCAACCCTAAGCAACCCAAGCAATCCATCCGAACCCCCGAGCCCTTGGCCAAAGACCTGGCCAAAGACCAACACACCAACCATACAAAGCCCGGCCATACCCCTCGGTGGAGATCTTTCAGTTTCAAGAAAGTGGCATAAACTACAGTGTTTTCTTTTTCCTGCTTCCTCAGACAGCACTTGCTTCCGTTTTTCATCTCACTTCGCCCCGACTTTCACGGAGATACCCCTTATCATCTTGCACATATGAGCGCAAATTTTT